CCATGGAGGCTCCCGGAAGGGGAGGGACTTCGCCTCTCTATACTGCCGCTCAAAATCCCGGCCGGAAGTCCCCGGTTGTTGGGAACTGGTTTCAGTAGAAGCTGCTGGGACTCCCAGCAGCTTTTACTGAAGCCTTTCGAGTAAATCGCCGACACCTCCTCATCTCCACCGCTCCCATGTTTTATTTTGTGTTGCCATAAATTAGTCTCTCTGCGTTTCTGCGCTGGGCTAATGCTAATGCTAATAATGCTAATAAAATGGTGGCTTAACAACACTTTTTTTGAGTTTTACGGGGGGTGGTTTGCAATCCGCCCAGCCAATCAGAAATATAGCTCTGTTCTCACAAGAGAGCCGCATGAGAGTCCCTGCTCTCTAGCAGGGATGGAAAGGGGGTAAAAAGGTTCTCATGAACTAATTTTAGTTCCGGCTCTTTTTGGTGTGAACGCGACATTTCGGAACTATATCGGAATAAAGTGGGAAAAGTACTCCGGTGTGAACGCGGCTATTGTGTTCTTTTCAACCAAATATCTCTCAGAGGGGCGTGGGGAGTGGCCCCTTATTTTCATCTAAAGTAACAGACAGAGAATCAGCACTTTTGAAACAGGGCTGAAACAGGGGGGTTTATGGGATTCTACAATGATCTGTTTGGTGTTTGGAGCCAAACAATTCAGAGACATGTTTTGTATATATCTGAGACCTATCATATATTGATGAAAAACAGTATAATAGGGGACCTTTAAGGGAAAAAGAAAGAAGAGGGAAGAGAGGTGAAGGAAAGAGTGGTAGAGGGAGAGAGGAAAAGAAGAGGTGAATGTTTGTGGAGTGTTGGCATTAATGGGACAATCCCTTCAACTATAACATTTCAAATCAAGAGTCAGCTCGACAACAGCACCACTCGCCTCTTATTTCATCGCCCGTCAATGGACAAAGGGGATCCCAGTCCAGCAGTATGCTTATGGGAAACTGGGCCCAAGTTCAATGAAGTGTGGTTTCAGTGCAAACTGACGCTAAGCCTGCTTATTCTATTTTCATGTCTGAGTGAATATGAGTGATGATGTGTGTCAAGATGACTGAAGGACTGTCTTTGTCCATGCTGCATGTGTGCACAGAGAGAGTGTGTTTTTCTAAGGTGAATGCGTGATTTAGCGCTTAAGAGGTAGGAGTGTGTGTGTGAGAGACACATGGAGAGAAAGAGGCAGCGAGAAGGAGTAGGTAGGACAGAGCTACTTTGTCTCCGGTCATCTGCCACCATCTGTTTCCACTTCTGACTAAGGCAGTAATTGAGAACACTTCTCGCATGAGCAGGAAAACATTTCTATCCACGCACACATATATACCATTCCACACAAGAAAAAAGAACATTTCTATTCCTTAAAGAAAAGTGAAAATAAACCAATGTGGTTTCAGTGTCTCAAGATATCTGATCCATTCAAGGGGAAACTAACTTGATTTTCCTAGACACACACCCAGGCAACACACACACACTGGATGAGTCTGAGTTTGTGGTTAGGGATGAGAGGACCACCATCTTTGTTCTGAGCTCCTGTCATCATCTTTAGACTGAACCTCTAAGCTCCAGAGTGATGAGCACATATCGCCTTACAGTAGTCCAGGCATGTAAACAAAGACACTGATACATACGTACAGGCATGACACACTCTCACATGTGCACACACACTTGCCTACACCAAGACCCACGGGGCTAACTACCTGTCATCCCTAACGTGTTCCTAAATCAAATGAAAGTCGAACGGTAGATGACCTGAGTGAAGAGAGAGTAATAAATAAAGAAAAGAGAGAAGACAGGCCAATAAAAAGCCGCAAAAAAAGGCTTAGAGAAACTTTAGAAAAGGAAGTCCCAGCTAAGGCTGGTTTCTTGAGGTTAATCTGATGTGACGGCCCAACAACCCGGCAAAAGCTTGACGCATTTCACCTCAGAGTCCTGAGCGCTAAAACAGATCCACATAAAAAACACACACATTCTCACATAGTCCCACACACTCAGATGCTTTTAATCCCCACAGCCTCTGCTGAAACGTCTACTGCGTATGAATTGTAGCTCGAACAAAAAACAGCTCTCTCTTGATCCCGACCCAACAGTCCTTCAACTGCAGAAACAGAGAGAAGGAAGAGTCGAGGGGAGAAGAGCAGAAGATTGTTTAAGCTGCTGCAGTTAGCAGACACATATTTCCCTGACAGTTAGTTTAGAGTTTGGAGATTAGAAATATAAAGGAATGTATCGCTGGAGTCTTGCTCGACATTATGTGCTGAGAGCACTCGATTCAATTAAAAGAACAAAACAAGAAACGAGGGAGAAAAATAAAGAAAGTGGGGGGAGAGAGGAATGAATGTTGGTAAATTACAGGCGCGCCTGGCAGCTAAATAGACCCATCTGTGCAGAGCTGAGACCAGTCGGACATCAGAGGACGGTCGCACACACCCCGCACACACACACAAACACACAAAGCTGAGTCCCCAGGGAGTGGTGATTAAAGCATTTATGGGAATAGTCATTGAGGGATAAAGAGGGCTTTATGATGTCTTTGTTTATTTCTTTGTAAGCAGAGTTTGGAGTGGCTGGATTACTGCCACTTCCTGGAGAGCGACTTATTTCCCTAGTTGGCGAGTCTGTTCATTGTCACATTTGCCTGGTGTAAAGCACAGGTGTGTTTATGAACATAAAAACAACCTGCCTGCCCCCATATTTGCTAATGATACAGCAGCAGAGGGAAAAAACCACCCAAAACTGAACTGGGAAAATGTTTGGATAGGCTGAAGAGTTTAAGCTCCCTTTCTTTCTTACTATAAACACATATGAAGGGAAAACTGTTGCCTGTGTTGGTTCAGTCTGAACACAGAAATTAACATTCAGAATGAAACCCTCCCCCACGAAAGCTCACCTCGGCCAATCAGCACCGAGAACGCTTGATTGCTTTGAAGTGAAGCAAAGACGTCGGATCAGGGTTTAAGTTCAACCATTCCCCAGCTTAACATTATATCCCTCGTTCTGCAGTCCTCTGATGGGTACACCTAGTTGGGTGTAATTGGCCCCCAAACTCTGGAACTAGCTCTGGTTGAGTGAGGAGGGGGGATGATGGAGGTAACAGAGATGGAAGATGAAGAAATAATAAGGGGATGGGGGAAATGAGGGCCGGGGAGTGTCTGGGGGAGTAGAGATGCTGTGGGGGGCGTCTGGGGGAGTAGAGATGCTGTGGAGCCCCTCCATTTTCAAACATCATTAAGACATATCTGTTTTGTGTCCCTCACAAGGAACACCCCTGCCTGGTGACAGAAGTGGGTCGCCCCACGCAGTCTCAGGCACATCCTGCCCTGCACGGCTTGGATTAAGCGTGACCTGCAGGGGTCAAGTGTGGTTTTGGACTAATTCAGGCAGACAGTGGTCTCAGATTGGTGGGAATTGCTTCTCGTAAAGACCAATCTTCAGGTTTAAAGGTCAAAGGTCAACTAGATAATCCTTCTGTTATGAAACATAAGACCTTCTCACAGCCCTGGCACTTTTCTTCTCTCAGTCAGTCACTCTCCTATCACCTTCTCCATTCTCTTGTCCTTAACATCAGACCCCTTTCTAGCAATACATCATGGCCATATGTATGTGAGACACAAGAATAATAACATTTAGCAACATTACTTTTGCCAACAGGATTAGAAGCCTATTCTAGACCTTAAGAGCCTCAACAACAACAAATAATAATTTTAAAACTACTTTGACAGAATTCCTTTTCCTCCCTTTTGTTGGTTTATTTTTGCGGCTTCAGATGTACATGCTTTGTCTAGCTTAAATCCTGTTTTCCTTACAGCTCTTTAAAACGAAAAAACATTTTTATTTTATGGCAAAGTCATAGCTAAATGACAACCTAGGATGCTATTTTGGGAAGCAGAAGCATTGTGCGATTTAATTTTCTGTCTTTTTCACTAACAATGACTAACCAGAAAAAGGGGAGGATTATGTTTATCTAGATAACGTTGCATTCATGAGCCGCGAGGCAGAATAAGAAAACCATGAAAGCAAAGACGTTACCAGCTTTAACCAATTTACAAATGTCTTTGGCAGCTGATATTGCTTGATCCTGACCCCAAAGTAAAGAAACACTTGTTTTTACAATGCCTCAGTCCATGCAGTGTTATCTCTGATCTATTTGTCATATTTATTTGACAGCGGGGTTGTGTGTATGCCCATAGAGCCTGTTTCCTCTCAGTTTCTGTAAACATTCAGAGCGGAGATGCCAGATCCCCTACCATGTTGACAGCTCATGAAAAAAGATATACAAGACGGAGGTTATTATTTATATTTTATACTTTCCAGCCAACACATTACTTTGAGGGCAAACTAACAACACATGTGCTTTTCAGGGACCATGATTAAGCCACCCCAAACGGAACCATATTTTCAATAAAAGTAACTTGTGTACTCTTTTCACAGATGGAACGCATTCAGTCCTTCTATAAGAACCTCTGTGAAAAAAGAGTAACAGCCACAAACAACCACAATATGGCCACACAATGAGAGCATTTCAATAAAGTGAACTTGAAACCCTTGATAGCTTGAGAAAGCTCTGCTCACTTTAGCCGCCTCTGCTGCGCACAACCATGAAACTGCGTGTGGCATCCTGCGATTTAACACACTGACGCTGAATAGTGCAGAGGAAGTGTGACACAAGGGGGAATATAACTAATTCAGCGCCATTCAACATCTCCTGCGCTAGAGTGACATAAAGAACCCACTCTTTATTCAATAAACTTCCGTTGTGTTCTTCCTCTCCTCTGATTTCTCTCTTGTCATTTTCTGATTCATGGTGGCTGCACTCCAGACTCCCTTGGTCCCTATACCTAAAAAAGGCTAGTTACATAAGCCCACACACACATGCAGATAACACCGACGTGTACACGACATCTCTTCTTACGTAAGAATATTTACCCCTCCACCCCGTGTCTTAATTCCATCCCAAAAAATCGCAACCCGTAACAAATGGAGGCTTCAGTGCCACAGCGTTTTCAGCGCAGCGGAAATAATTTGTAAATTCCCCCTGCAGACTCCCGATTTAGCAAGAGTGCTGAAGAACCCAATGCTCCCTAAAACACACACTCCAGTGCTGCTGCTGCTGCTGCTGCTAGCTTTGAGTCTTTGCTCCTTCACTGAAAAATGAAACATGTCAACACAACCCGCTAGTTGTGATCTGATTTGTACTTTTGATGCCAGCTCTGCCAGTGTGTGTGTGTGTGTGTGTGTGTGTGTGTGTGTGTGTGTGTGTGTGTGTGTGTGTGTGTTTGTGTGTGTGCATTTACTCACCCCTTCATTTGGGTAAGCCTCCCAGCCCAGGTCGGCCAAGGCTGACATAGAGTCCAGTAACGTAACTGCAAGAACAAGAACAAAAAAGAGCATAAACGTACTGCAGAGCAGATGCATTTCATTGCTAAATCCCCACTTCCTTAAACAATGTTTTTTTCCGCATACAGTTTAAAGATGTCTTGAAAGCATCAGATAACATCAAAACCTTCCATATAAAAAAATCCATGACTTTTATTCATGTTTTATACAAGGTCGCCTTTTGTTGTAGCAGTAGAATCACAAGGCAGTGGTGAACCTATCAATTCAATTTGAAGATTACTGTGGTTGTGCTGCAGCTGTTATGATTCAAGGGGACACAAAGTCAGCCAGTGTGACAGCATCTAGACAGAGGCATATTTTAAAGTTGCATTTACATTTTGGATATTTTAATGATACGCCACAAAAAAGCTCTCGTTTGAATATGGAAGCAGTTGCGTTGTAAGCTTGCGAAATGGCGGTAAAACTGAGTGAGTGTGTTTAAAGGAGAGAAAAGGCTGCGGTCCAGCTGTTACAATAGATCGTGTGGAAGCCATTCATTTACCTTGCTGTTCATGTGTTTTATCAGTAAAACACAAATTCAAACTTTCAAACACAGAAGCAGGCACATGTGGTGGTTTGCACAAATCCATGCCTCCAGTTGTAATAGTGGTCAGAAGTTCTTTATCAAGGTTGAATCTTTAGCTATACAGCAGAAGGGATTTGATTTAATTGAAACATTAAACATGTCACTGTTTAACAGAATTGAAGTATTGAAATCCAGTGTGGATGCCTAAATCCCAACCTATCACCATCCCTGTTATACATCACATTGCCTTTCATCACATGTAATATAGACATTGCTGAGATTCTGGCAACCCAAATACAATAGAGGTGAATTACTTCTGTTTTAGTTAGTTTAATATTGGTACCTTGAGTATCTGCTGATTTGAAACCCATCACATACCCTCTGTCTTCCACTTAAACAACGAAGCTGTTGATACCACATTTGTTTTGATGAACTTTGCTTGACCTATCCATCTGAAAAGGATCTTACTCAAACAGGAATACAGATAAATCCACAACCTATGGCTCAGTCTGCAATACTTCTTTACTCTTGACTCCATGCAATCTTTTCCTCCATGACAGCTGACTTTTTCCTTTTTCAAAAAGAATGAAAACTCATTCCTGGGAAACCCACAGGCCTTTCTGTGAAAGCTGCTCTTACAACGCTATCGAAGAAATAATCCATATAAAAAATGGTGGATTACCCAGACATTGTTTCTGGAGATGGTTATCTCAAGAGCTCAGCCCATGAAGCTGAAACTATCTCCACGAGAGGATATCACTACAGATACGTGAAGAAATATATCAGGTGAACCAACCCTTTCAACAAGGATTTAGTAGGGCTGTGCAATTCATCGTATTTTGATCGCAATTACGATTTTGGCCTGCCACAATTACGAAAACAGGATAATCGAAAAAAACGAATATTTTGCTTTGCTAGGTCATTGCAACATATTTGATCTAATTTATTTTAGTCTAATTTATTTTTATTTATCATATTTATATGTTTAGTAGCTTGTTGAAGTGCGCTCCAAAAAATGTGTTGATCTTGTTTATTGGTATTTATTATTTATTTAAATGTAAATATAAATGTATCATTTATTTTATTTATTTTTGTATTGGTTTTTCAGTTGCATTATACGTTCAGGGTAATCAACAGTTAAAAAGATATTGTTCAAATTATTATTTGCATTTGTTTTAAAGTTCAATAAATGGATGTTTTCAAAGTCAATGAATAATCGTATTTAATAATCGTGATATCAATTATTGACCAAAATAATCGTGATTATGATTTTTGCTATAATCGCACAGCCCTAGGATTTAGTGGTTTAACTTTCATAATGCAGTAAAAAGATGTTGTTGAGTATCAGTGTCATAAAGGACAAAGTTCCTCAGTAGAACATTTCCACAATCTGTGTGTGTGATCTCTGTGACAGGAGGAAGTGGAGGGAGGAAGCAGGGTAAAGAGGGGAAGGTGGCAGGTTGAGCAGCGGGAGGCATAATGAAAACCTGCCCAGATTCTGGAGCACAGTTCTCCACCTGTGTGTGTGTGTCACTTGTTAGTGTGTGTGTGCGGTTTTTAAGGCTTGGCTCAGTCAGGTTCTAATCAAGCCTTCATCACCGCTGACCATTAATATTTAATCAGCTTCCATCTGCAGAGACTGCTGCTTCACTCTTTCTTCACTCTCATTGTGGCGCTTTCAGGTTAACCTCCCTCCATTGAAATCTTTGAACCTATATGCTTTCAATCCACAGATCCGAGATCAGACGGGCGAATCGCTGACCTGACGCAATTCAAACCGACTGCATCACTTTAAAGCAGCGCACTTCTGTATTCCCTCCCATTCTTATAAGCAGTGACCTGGAAAAAAACTATTTCAAAGTAAAAAAGAAAACAGAGTATGCCCTGCTGAATGCAAATGAGCCTAATCACTCAATTGAAGAGGTTTGAAAGTGCCTGTTTACAAGCCCCTCTGTGTATCCATACTGCCTGTAGGTGTAACAAAGGGACTGTAAAATTGGTCCAACCTCCTCTTTTCCTATCTTTCCCCCTCTTTCTCTTCCTCTCGCACCCATGCTGTTCATCAGCCCTCACTGAATCCCAGTCGTTCCCTTCAGCTCAGCACACCATGACAGCAGGGAGGCATGTCATGCTGTATTAGTGTGTGTACATGTGTGTGTGTGCGTGTACACACAACAGTGCCTGCGTACGGATACAGAAAAAATAGTGCATGCAGTATAATGAAACAGACAAGGCTGCACAGTGTAGCGCAGGTGAGAGAGGGAGGGAGAGAGATGGAATGAGAGGGAGATACTAGGGGAGGTGCTGAGCAGATAAAGGTCAGAGGCAGCCTCCAGCCCATGTGTATTCAGACTGAGACTAAAAAACGTTTGGACTGCTTTGCTCAGTTTATGGGCATTTGAGTGGCGTACTGCAATTAGACATAATAGGATAATAATATGTGGTTTCAGGATCCAAAAGAGAGGCTCACACACATTCTCACACAGACACACTCAGAGATGAAAGCTACTATCTATCAACAGGGATTGTGGAATTTACACACATACTCTCAACTGTACCAATTATTCTCCATGACTCACTTACTGCAATACATTTTGCTATGTTTCCCAGAAAGTATAACTGAGTGGAACATCGTTAAAAGGTTGGTTCACTCAAGAAAAACATATTTTCTCCCTTTGCTGATGGTATTTTGTGTGCTTAAAACAATTAAAAATTCAATTTAAACTCACTCACTTAAACTATTTTCTGGTTGTATGGGAACTTGGAACTAGTTGTTCTTAATTAAAATAAAATAATCTGTGGAATATCCCTTTGAGTAAAGATGTGCATTTTATACTTGGTTGTGTTTGCTCTAAAACAGTTTTGCTGTTCAGACGTTGGCTGTTAGCTATCTACCTACGTATGAACCAATTTTCAGATAGAACTCAAGTTTTCTTTGTCGTTTTCCTCTAGTCTGTTTCCTTTTCCCTCTTTTATCTGACTTTTTGTTTAATAAATCATGGGAATAAATGCACATTTTTTAACTCCCATGCATCAATTTATGTTCCGAATGATAGTCCTGTCCTTGACTTAAGAAATGTTGTCAACCAACAATAATACGATTGTGTTGAATAATCGATTTGTTTATATAAGGGACGGATCTGTAAAACTAAGTTTCACCATTAAGAATCATTCAAAAGTACCACTATTCGTCTTTACCAGGCAATACGCAATAATGTTTTTAGGTGTCTTTAGGTTATCTTTTTGCTAATCTGCTGCTTTAAGTGTTAACGACCTTCTCACCTAACTTGGTGCAAAAGCAGATATGAGTATTTCCCAGGAGGTAGAGCTCTCTGAGATGTCTCAAAAACTAGGAAAGTAAAACCAAAAGTATCTGCTAGAAAAACAAGTGTTACCCTTCAAGACACTTTGTGTGTCTGGAGTCACTCATCATCATGTAGAAACATTCCTTAAATTCTAGTCTAGTGTGTTACAGACGCCATTACATATTCCACAACCATTTTGCCGCCCACTGGGAAAACACTCACATACATAAACCTACGCATCAACACTTTTCCTCATCTCCTCACACCTCCTGTCAATACCACTTATCACTAGTGATCAATGACTGGACTCATCAATTATGTATCAGCTATAGCTTCCTGTCTGCTGACATGGCATATAGTCAATGTATTTGCGTGTGTGTGAAAGTGTGTTTGTTTGTGTCGATGATGACGGGAAAACAGAGGAATTATGAAGATGTGTAGTGTTCTTCCCCCAAACAAAAACAAAGCCACACCTCTTATCTATCTGTCCATCCATCTCTAAACACCCCCCATCTGTTAGCCTCTCTCTCTCTTCTCGTTCTCCAGGGAACTGGCTAAATTGTGTGTGTGTGAAATCTAAGCCTCTGCCAGGCCTGCTTTGGCTCAGAATAAAAACATCAAGCTCATCAGTCAGTCATTCAGGCCAGGCTAATATTGGATTTTATAACCAGTATACTCTTTATCTCTTTCTCTAACACACACACACACACACACACACACACACACACACACACACACACACACACACACACACACACACACACACACACACACACACTGAGTCACACACATTAGGAGGGTGCCAGTGGCACAAAGAGAAAGACTGCTCAATAAGACCACCACGCAGACTCAATATAGAGTACAATATGTGACTACATAATGAGTTCATAAGATCTCTTCAGCTCAGTAAAAAGGATATTACATTGGTAGATGTTATATATAACGAAGGGGGAAGGGGGGGATTGCTGACACGACACTCCACATGCTGATGCTACATGTATAAGCCTCATTGTTTTTTCTTCATCAGCTTAAAGCATTTTCACCCAGGTTTAATGTCCCCACACATCCCAAAAGTTGTTTTCCTGCTGCAAGAAAACGCTGACATGTACAGTTCACAGCAATCAAGGTGTTCCTGTGGCAGAACATATTATATATT